TGAGTGAGTGAGTGAGTGAGAGAGCAAGAGAAGGGAAGGGAAGAGCTTAGAAAAGAAGAAGAAGAAGAAAGTGACACCACGAGTGACACTGTGACTCTGTGTGGCTTTTGGCAGAGGCCGACTCGCAGCTCTCGCAGCGTTGTTGGCCTCCTCTTCGCAGCGACGCTTCTCGTCGCGGCGTCGTTGGAGCTCCTCCTCCCGCCGCCGCATATCCTGAGAGCAGCGAGACAAGACGAGCTCCAAAGCTTCGGAGGATTTCAGAGGCCTCCTCTTTCTTTCGCTTTTCTTCTTCTCGTTTTATTCGTTCCTGCAGGGTGGGAGGTGCATGCCTTCTTCGACCCAGAATCCTGGCAAAACGGAGAGCCCAGCGCCTGCTCTTGCCTCCGCTTTGTTTCGGCGTCGTCTTCTTTCCGCCTTTTTCAAAGGCCAGAATCGGAGGGCTGCCTGAAGTGAAGGAGCGCATCAGCCTGTCATCGTGACGTCTGCGTTCTTCCTCCTGCTTGCCTTGGAGTCGAAGCCCCTCCCGGCGCTTTGGACCCAAAAAACGAATCCGAAACTCGCTTTGGGGCCCCCGGCGACGGCGCTCCTCTTCGCCTCGGCGGCGGTAGTCCTCGTCCGGGCGACGATTCCCAGACTCCTCCTCCTTGGAGAGACGACAGCGGATGCTCGGCTGACCTGTTCCATAAACATTCTACACTGCGCATCTCATTCTATCTCAATCATCTCCTCCCGCCGTCGCTTGTTTGCGCGGTGGTCGGCCTGCATTCAAATCGCGTCTAAGACTTTGGGAGTGTTGATGTGTGCCGTTTCTTCATATCACGTGCGGCAGTACTCAGTGCAAGAGTTGAAAATGTCATTTACCGACGGTCAGCCGATCAACATTCCAGAGCCTCTTCCTCGCGACCGGGTCGGCGACGATCCGCTGGCCTGAAGCGAGCAAATGGGGCAAAGGTGTCAAATGTGGGCACAACTCGACATTAAACGCTCAAGTGCCACGAGCTCGTTTGAATCACCGAGTCATTAGCTCGTCACGACGCTCGCGGTCACGACGATCGCCATCTCGCTCCCGTCTGTCACCTCTATCTCGCTCTGTCCGATTCTCGGTTCTATCCTTGGCTTCAACTCGCGCATGACACCTTTATCAAGAAATTGAGGCACCATGCGGTCGCTGAGTTCCATTCATCACGGTCACGCTCTTCACGGTCTCGGCGACCTCAACATCGGATGACAGCGATTTGCGGCTCCTTGTATTGATTGTTTGCTGATGTTTGCTGACGCCGACCTCCTCGGATGTATGCTGGCAATTCGCCCACTAACACGATTCCATCCCCGCATCGAAGCCCAAACAACAGAGCTCTCCACCGCGTCTATCGTCACGGTCATCCTAAGATGCCCCCCATCTTTTGGTGGACAGCTGCCACAGCTTCACACGGCTTCGCGAGCGCGAAAACTCTGCTGTGCAAAAAAGCGTCCTTGTCCGCGGGCACTGGCCTTGCCGCGCAGGGCTTTGATCAGATTGCCCGGTAAGCTTGGTATGGAAGGTAGCAGTGATGAAATAGAGGAAGCTTTTTCCAGCGCAGCGAGCTTAAAAATGCCGCAGTAGGGGACATATGTCGTCTTGCGCAGTAGGCCATTACATCCTTTATCACATGTGGCGACGACGCCAAAAGAAAAAACATGGCAACTGCCATTCGAGCGATGTTTCAAAGTTTGGTCGGAACCTCCTTGTTTTCCTTGTTGACAAACGCAGAATCATGAAATCGGCTAGTCATTGCCGGACTACCTCCAATGGCAGGCACTGAGAGACCATTTGTGCGGCCCTTACGGGCTCAGGCACGGGTAGGCTTCCTGAGCTAAACGCAACGGACCCAGTCAGAAACTGAACCGAAGGCTTCTTGCAAGCAGGTGTCGTGTTGGCAGCAGCAACTTCCTGCACGTAATCCTGCAACAAACTAGAGAATGTTAGAGAGTGAGCATATGCGATGGGCTTTAGCTTTAGCGACTGCCGGGGCAGAACCTGCATCTTCTGGAAGAACTCCTCGCCGG